CAAAGTTAAAGAGCTAGGTAAAGATGGGAATGCACTTGGTGATTCGGGACTAGCCTACTCGAGGCATTCACGAGCACTGGGAGATAGGGACTACTGTGGACTATGGAGACCCATATTTGAACTCTCAATTGAGTCACTTAACTTGGGCACGTTATTTAGAACCCTCCAGACTCTATTTCCTCAGAAGTGGCAATTACAGTACCTATTTTATAGGACTAAATTAACTAAAATCATGTATGTATGGTGCTTCACACAACTTGGAAGTTAGTAAGCAGTCATGGGTTATCAAAAACAACATTCTCATTAAAGATGGAAAGACAGATTGAAATCCAATTATGGAAGGCCTCGAATATCAGACTAAAGAACTTGCATTAAATCCTGTGGGTAGTGGCAAACAGAAGTTTTGTTTGTGGAAATGACGTGGTGAGATTTTAGAATGGTAAATCTGGCAGGAAGATATGGAATGGGTTGATTGCAGAGGAAACACTGGAAGTCGAAATGCTATTTCGACAAAAGTCTAGACCTACAATAAGAGTTTCAACAAGGGTAAGGATAGTGATAATGGAACACAAAGTGCAAAGGGTGGGGTATTGAACTGTGCACCTAAGAAATGGTTAAGATGGTAAATTTTATGTTATGTATTTCAACACAATTTTTTTTAAAGGGTCAGAAAGGGAAAGTTAACTTAAGTATCTGGAAGAACCAAAGGTACCAATAAGGAAAAACAACAAGCACCACAATAAAGTCAGGAAAGGGGGCTCCATTTGGGAAAATGACTATATACTGGTTAGGTTTGAAGTGATGCCTTGAAAGCCAAAAGGACAGGTACAATATACAGAGCTATAAGACTGAAGCTCACTTGCTGATCTAACAAAGACAATCAGTTGGAAGAAGAAATTTCACCATGCATAAGCATACTAATACACCCCAGTCACAACTACTTGGCTTATCAGTCTTTAAGAAAGGATAGAGGAGTGCCTGGGTGGCTCAGTTGGTTAAGCATCTGATTCTTGATTTGGGCTCCGCTCATGGTTTCAGGGTTGTGAGATTGAGCTCAGCGCGGAATCTGCTTGAGATTCTCTCTCCCCCTCTGCCTCTGCCCCTCCCCTACCCACGTGCACTTTCTCTCTCAAAAAAGAAAAAAAAAAGGATATGTGACTTGGTAACTCCACTTAATACAGACTCAAAAGATATCTTTTCTAAGACATCCCCCAAACCTAATTACAGTAAAAAGCAGCCATTAACACAACCTACTTTATTCATCTTATAATACAAATAGGACTGTAACAGATCCAGTAACACAATGGCACTTTGATAATCCTATAATTCAGACACCATATATTCTAAAATAAAAGGTTAATATGTTCAGTGTGTTCTCTATATATCCTTTAAATGTTAGCAGTGAATTTGTATGTGTGTGTTTCCAGAATTGCTAATATTTTCATATATTTTCTTTGAATAACATAAATACAGAAAAAATATATAAACAGTGAATTTTCACAGAGTGAACACATCCATATAACCAATACCCAAAACAAAAGTCAGAACATTACTAGCACCCCAGAAGGCCCCTTCATACCCCATTCAAATACTTTCCCCAATCTCCAACAAGGGTAATCATCTCCTGACTTCTGATACCACAGATAGTTTAACCTGTTTTTGAAATTTATGTAAATGCAATCAATGCATTTATGTAAACGCACTCTCTAGTGTCTGGCTTCTTCCATTCAAAATTGTATCTGTGAGTTTCACAATTATATATAGCTGTAGTTTGTTCATTCTGATCAATGTTTAATTCATTGTGTGATTATGCCAGAAACTTATTTACCCATTCTACTATTGATAGGCATTGGGAAAATTCCAGCTTGCGCTATTACAATTAGTCCTGCTATTAACATTTTTGTCCATGTCTTCTGGTGAATATACACACACAATTCTGTTGTATATAACTCTAGGAGTGAAAATGTTGAGTCACAGAACATGCAAGTGTTCAACTTTAGTAAAACAACTAATGAACTTTAAACGAAGGAATATTTTTTTTTTAAGATTTATTTATTTATTTGAGAGAGAGTGACAGTGTGAGTGGGGGGTGCGGGGGGGCCGGCAGAGGGAGAGAGAATCCTTGAGCAGACTTCCCACCAAGCGCAGAGCCTGACACAGGGTTCCATCCCAGGACCCCAAGATTATGACCTGAGCCGAAATCAAGAGTTGGCTGCTCAACCAACTAAGCCACCCAGGTGCCCCCAAAGGAAGGGATACTTTAAGGTCTTTATAGGGCAATTTGAATGATTAATGATGTGTCAGAAGGTGCTGATGAAAACTCCATCAAAAACTACTTTCAGGAGGGTAAACATACTGAAGTAGGGTTTTGAACCACATGGCTTCCAAGGACAGCAATTTACTTTAGAATAGTTTCACCAGCAATTTGGAATGTGACAATAACACTTAGAAGTAACCAAGTTTGTCTTGTCTTTTCTAGAACTGCTGATGCTGAAAATTTAGAAACAGTTGAAGAGCCATTACAATCAATAAGGTAAAGTAGTCACTTTCTCAACATGTTATGGAATATAAATATTACATGTCAGAACTCTGCAGCAATTAAGCCTGTACTCATTTAATCACACTCCTGGAAAATGAAAGGGACTTCAAAACTAGTCTAACCTTCAGGTGGTCATATCAATGCCTTCTAAATCAATGAACATGCAAACAAAAATTCATTTAATTCTGGAACAGAAGAAGCATATTAGGCAAAAACTAAGAGAATCTGAATAATACATATTTTAGTAAATATCAATACTGGTTTATTAATTATAACAAATGTACCAATCTAATGTAACATGTTAACAACAGAGGAAATGGGGCTGGGGTATATATGGGAATTCTGTGTAATATCTTAGCCATTTTCCTATAAATCCAAAACTGTTTAAAAATAATTTTTAAAAATCCATTTAAAACTCTGCAACATAATCTGCAGATTATAATACACCTGCTAAACTCCTCTCAGAATGCAATCCAAATGCATTTTAAGAACTGTTAGACACGGGCGCCTGGGTGGCTCAGTCGTTAAGCATCTGCCTTCGGCTCAGGTCATGATCCCAGGATCCTGAGATCAAGTCCCACATCGGGCTCCCTGCTCGGCGGGAAGCCTGCTTCTCCCTCCCCCACTCCCCCTGCTTATGTTCCCTCTCTCGCTGTGTCTCTCTCTGTCAAATAAATAAATAAAATCTTTAAAAAAAAAAAAAAAAAAGAACTGTTAGACACCCATGCATGCATACATGCATGTGCGCACGCACACAGACACACACACACTTTCCATCTATGGGCTTAGACACATAGATATATGAGGGAAGCATTCTGTCTATGCTGATTTTGGTTTTGCTCCTAGCTATAAAATTATGAACCAGCCTCAGACTTCCTTTTTTATTCCAACTAACCTAACCTTTTTGAGTATATACTGTAAGCACTTAATGACTCATTAAGAGGTAATCCCCCAGTTAATCTTCAAACAATAAAATAAAAGCATCCAAACTCCAAGTAACATCAATTCTCCAATAAATCATATCTTTGTGGTTTAAGTCATTGAGTCTTTGCTTTTACTTCAGAGGGAATAGGAAAAAGGCTGTGCCTTAGAGCTAGTAGGGAAAACAAGTAGCCCTAAAACGGTATGCGACCTAGTGGAAGGAACCCTGGGCAAGGAGGCAAGAGACCCAGCTTCTAGTTTCAGTTCCACCACTCATTACCTCTGTGATCCTCGAACATTTCCCTGAACATCTCTGATCTTCCATTTCCATGATCTCAAGTCCATTTTAACTCTAGTATTTGTTCCATGAATCAAGAGGTCCTTCAGTTACCACTTCTTGTTATGCCAGATATCCTAGTTAATTCTTTTATCCTTATCTGTTCTATAAAATTTTTAAAGCATCTAGAAAGAAAAATAATATCCTGTCATGGAATGAATGTTTATTTCTACCAGGGGATGGAGGGTGGGGGGGATATAATGAGTGAAAGAAAAGAAGTTGAACAGCATCATAGCTTTCCATTCCATTAACCTTGTATTAGTAATCCCACCACCATATACATTGCAAATATTTACTTGCTAGTCAGCATTATGACACAGGTCTTGACTTTCTCTTTAGAAGACTATTTGAATTCACCTGTGGTTCCAGCAAGTTTATATCTAAATACAACCTTAAGTTTGGTTCTTCTATAGAAGGAGTTGGCACACTTTTTCTTAAGAAGCCAGATAGTCTGGGGCACTCAGATGGCTCAGTTGGCTGAGCATCTGACTGTTGGTTTCAGCTCAGGTCATGATCTCAGGGTTATAAGATGGAGCCCCATGACTGGCTCCACACTCAGAGGAGAGTCTGCTTGAGGATTCTCTCTCTACCCTTGCCCCTCCCCCAACTTGCACACACTCTCTCTCTCAAATAAATAAATCTTAAAAAAAAAATAAACAGGGGCGCCTGGGTGGCTCAGTCGTTAAGCGTCTGCCTTCGGCTCAGGTCATGATCCCAGGGTCCTGGGATGGAGTCCCACATCGGGCTCCCTGTTGGGCGGGAAGCCTGCTTCTCCCTCTCCCACTCCCCCTGCTTG